TGAGTGCTGCTACAATTTAGTGAGGGGTGAAGTCACTGTCATATGATGACTACTCTTCCCTGTGATAATCGCACACCAACACGTGTTAGCTCGGTTGACCCAAGACCGTTCTCCACACGCTTGCCAGTTCCACGCCTTCTATCCTGTTAACATTGTGATGCTTGGCGATTTCTACCGTCCAGGCCGTCAGTCTCTGTGAGGTGGAACGTAGTCCTCGCCTCAAAACCTCGCCATTTTCTAAGTCTACTTTGTGTCCCGTGTCCAGTGCATATTCTGCAATTGCCGAGTCTTTTTAGTAACGCTGGATATTCATCTGCGTTTCTCGGTGACCTGTTTATTTTTCTCTTATGCTTTCCGATTCTGGTGTGAAGTTCCCTATTCGTCTGTCCTATATAGACCTTAATGCAGTCGTTACAGTTGATTTTGTAGACACAGTCCCTGGTTCTGTTTACCGGGAGGCGATCCTTCAATTGCACCAGTGCAGAGCGCAGAGTGTTTCCCATCTGGAAAGCTACTCTCATGTTGGCCCTGTTTAGAACCCTTCGGATGACCTCCGATGTGTCTGCTTTATATGGAATAACAGCGGTCCCAAGAAATTATCGTTTGGGTTTCGCCACCGATACCAGCATCCTTCGTAATTGACGCCTCACCAAACTAGTTGGATATCCACTACCCCGAAGTTTGTCCTTTGTTTCAGTTTGGGCCGCTGTCCGATTAACTTCTCCTGTGCACAGGGCCATTACACGCCTAAACATTGATGAGGGAATACTAGCAAATACCGATTTCGGAGCAGCAGACGAGTAGTTCAAAGCTGCCCCAATGTCAGTTGGCTTCCTGTATACTGTGGTCTTTAGTCCCCCCCCCCCCCACCTTATATGTCATGCAGTTTAAAAATGCCACTGTACCCGAGGTTGACTATTTCTCCATGATAAATTGGATGTGCAGACTCAGTTCATTCAGATAGTTGTAAAACTCACTAACCTTATCTCGTTTCATCACGACGAAAGTGTCATCTACATAACGCCAGAATATCTTAGGTGGGTATGGGAATCCGGCTAAAGCTCTCTGTTCAAATCTGTTCAAATTCTTCCATAAATATATTCGCTAAAACCGGGGATATTGGAGATCCCATTACTAGACCTTGTTCTTGAGTGTAAACCACGGTGTTGAAAACGAAGTGGATGAGATTCAGGCATACTTTTATGCCTTCCACTATTTTATCCACCGTGAGCTGTGTCCATTCTGAAAGGGTGGTGTTTGCCAGTAGCAGTCGCTTAGCTATTTCTAAAGAGTCCCCTCTGGGCACATTTGTTTATAATGAATTAACATCGAAACTTACCAGGATGTCATCTGGTTCAGCGGCAGCCCCCCCCACTTTTTTTGGTAAACTCAGACGAATTCTCAATGTAAGTACTAGATTTCCCGATGAGGAGTTTTAAAATACCGGCCAAGAATCTGGCCAGTTCGTGAGGTGGGGAAACTGTTCCGTCTGCTATCGGTCCCACCGATAGGGACATTTGGTTTATGGATTCTTGGAAGGCCACACAGTCGTGGTTGGATTGCACTTTTGGGGTACAATCAATACGGGTTGTCTTGCCCTCAGTGGTTTATCACGGACAGCAAATATTTGCCAACTTCGGCTTTACTCCTATTCGTAATATTCGCATTGTCGATCACCCGGTAAGGACCCTCAGCTAGGTGTTGCTTGACCTTCTGTAGATAATCACTCTTGTTCATAACAACCGTGGCCTTGCCATTATCCGCCTTTGTGATCACTATGTCGTCCACCTTTTTAAGGTATTTAACGCTCATCGCTCTGCTGGTTTAATATCTGGAGCTCCTGGCTGCTTCTTCGCCTCCATTGGTTGAAGCTTTTGGAAGACAGGTTCAACGCTAGGGACTATAGCTCCCGCCCTTATCACCCTTTTGCTTACTGTAATATCCAGGCCTTTCTCTAATAGACAACACTCTTCCTCACTCAGCGGTCTGTTTGATAAATTCACCAGGCTACAATAGCTAGTAGGGGGCCTAGGCTTAGTTACGCGCTCATTAGAATTTGAAAGTAACTTCTCTAATTTACGGATTTGTCTCTCTTTTTTAGTCTTCTCGGCAGTTTTAGCACCGCTACACAGTGATCATATATGGATGTCGAAAATTAACACCAAATGTCATACTGGATCGGGGAATTCACTATGGTGACAGGATATTTTTAAGCTGAACCGTCTTGTTCGTATCACATGAAATGCTACTTTTTCCAGTCATACCCTTCTTATTCTTTGTTTCGTCTAATTTTCCATGAAAACATAAACCACACGGTCCTCACTACAGTCAGACTGATACAAATAGCCTGACTGTATGCTTGAATAAGGTTGACTTGGACCCATCATCGATAACCTGAAATTGGATGGCTGTTCCCTTTTCATAGATGAAAAGATCATTATGGGCAAGATCGAATCCGAAACGTTCAACTTCAAGTTGCTTTTCGTTTACCGGTTCCTATGGAACAATTCAACTGCCGACCAGTTTACCCATCTCTACAAACCGCACACTGTTCATGTCCCAGCCAGTACTCACCACTTGGTCACCTTTGATATGCATATATTTTATATGCATATGCGAGATCTACATTTGGTGAAATTCAGTTTTGTGGATAGAGTAAGTACTGTAGACAGACTTCAGACCAGTCTGTTTGACGATGAACACATTGGTATCGACATGTCGTAACTTGCTCCAAGCCTTCCTGAGGACTATTGATCGGCCAGAAGTACAGAGTGCGTTTTCACACGTCCATGATTTTTCGTGAAAGCTTCTATCACGTAATGACCGCAAAAAGTGGGTTTCATCTCTCCTCAATCAGGTCCACACAGCAAATGTGGATCTCTTCAATTACGTATCATTAATAACACTCGAAGGAAAAGTATGTTAAGTGTATCATGATTGTAATATAATGGGTTTTCCTAACCGTGAATATAAACGAGATTTTTGGAGAACCATTCGACTTCTGGCGGATGCGTAGATGTCCACCAACTGAAGCTCCAGTTCACCTCAGTTATACATCGAAATTCAGGTCATGAGCCCCAGCTTCAATTTAATCTAGTTAGGCCAGCTGAGCCATGATCATAAAGTGGCCGACAGACCACTCGTGAGCGACTCACCCAATCAGCTGATTCTGACAACCTAATAAGATGTTAGTCTCCTTGTCCAAACTGTCTAAAATGAACTGGGCCAATTGTTTTTGGAGGAAGCGTTTTCCGGTGTACGTAAAAATTTCCACCGCACGATGCCCCCAGAATGATTTAACAAATAATCTACCGAGAACTCTTAACCAAAACTACCAAGAAAGTACGAATTATTCGCCAAGATAACTGCACTGCGACTGAAACTTTCGTTGCACCAGGCTGCGCTACACTGAACCTATCGAAAGCTATCTGGAGTGGTAGTCATTGCACAGTTGCCAGCCATGTGACACCTATCTCTTAGACCAGTTTGTCATGGTTTTCCTTCTGTTACCTTCTGACTCGCTTTGACAAGAGTGGATTCAGTCACCAAAGCGTGTTGACATGCACGCATATATCGACACCCCGCAGGCCCGGATAGCTCAGTCGGTAGAGCATCAGACTTTTAATCTGAGGGTCCAGGGTTCGAGCCCCTGTTCGGGCGACTTTTGGTCCTTGTGTTACAAAGACGTAA